ATTCTATGATTCTATGATTCTATGATTTCAGTAGAAATTATGTTAAAGCTTCTGAGCACATTTCTGTGGTGTGACTTTGTAGGAGGAATGCCTAAGAAGACCTCAGAAAACAAACAAAGGTAAGACGTAATTGAAGCCAAACACCTCAGCTTCTGTTGCCCTGTTTGACCTACCAGGTTTGGCTCTCACAGGATAGTCACAGAAAGAGAATGATTCTGACATTACAAAGAAAACCACAAATTTACCATTTCTTGTAATATGATCTACAAGATTTAACCAAGACATCATTAGACAGCTTTGTCAAACTGAAAAGTTAATTGGGCAATTTGGGGAAAAAGTTGGGCAAAAGGAAGGTAGCTCCATGACCGTCGGAAGTGGTGTCTAAACACTGGGAAAGGAGTCAAGGAATGAGCCTCTGGAAGCTCCTCTTCCAGAAGGTAAGGAAGAGAGAGACACTTTCGCTTGAGATAGCACCATGAAGTGGAACCAGCTCTAAGTTTGTGACTCTTTTCCTCAGCACTGAGAGAGGGAAGGAAAGAGGAGACAGCAGCCAGTGTATTTCAGTCAAAGGAGCTCTGTCAAACTGAAATCGTATCTTGGCTTAGCCAGAAGGAAGAGAGAGACGGAGTTAGACAAGACAATGTAGTCAAGGATCATCTTCATTGCTAGGTGTATTCTCAACAGTGTACACTGCTGTTTTGTAGCTTTTATAGCTTTGCTGATGACAATCTATGCATTTGAAATACATACACTCTCTTAGCCTGAACTTTTGTCTTTTGAGAAGGCTGAGTGACCTTACATAATAAAGTGTGTTGAGGCTTATAACTTGGTTATTTAGAAACCATAACAGGTGTTTGGTTATAGAAAAATAATTATTAATTTGCTTGAAGGAAGGTACATTAGGGGCTTAAGAGCCAGTTTATTGTAGGCAAGGAACAAAGAAATGTCCAGACAATCTGTGACAGCCAGATAAGCTCAGCACAGTAAACAAGAATATAAAAAGCTCCACACAAGGAAAGTTGCTCAGCCGTCTTTGGCAACACTAAACACTAGTAAAAGTATAAGATGGAGCTTTCTTCTTGCAGGGCTCATGATCTTCCTCATAACAGTTGTGATCCCAATAGAGGCTATAATTTGTTTTTCAGGAATCGTTTAGAGTCTAAATACACACAATCAGAACATATTTTGCGATAACTGAAAACCCTGCTACAACTGAGAAATTGAACCAAAGATGGTTTTAATTCTGCTCTTTTGTAAATACAATACACTGACATTTCATACTGCACCTTGTTATCAAAGAGGAGCCAGTCTTCTGGACACCCACCCTTTGGTGGTGGTGAAGTGGGAACAACAGTTGGACGAACAGTATTGTTAAGCCTTTCACAGATGAATAACTCAACGCTGCCACAGTTGAGATCATTCCATGTACCTGAAAGCAAATTAGAATAAAAGAAAAATAAAATGCAACTAAGACTGGGATAAAAAGTGTCCTTTCCTAAAGCAAATCTATCATAAGAAGTAGAACTGATTGCAATATTTCTATTTCCCCCAGAAATAATGAGTAATTTTTATGTACGTTCTTTAGAAACGTGCAGATTTCCAGCAAAATTCAGAATAGAAATATTTTTTCTGAGAACAGAAATATTTCAGTGTTGCAAAACCATAGCATCGCCAAAGGGGAGTTTTAGTTCAAATGCTTAATTCACTTCTCTGAGAGCTGTAAAGTCTCTAAGATCACTCTGTCTATATTAGATACTTGGTCCTTGTTACCTTACTACCTGAGCTTCTCACAGTCTTACAGTCCTCAGGTCTCTTTTCTCCCTATGGGGGTGTGATGTAAGAATATAACATAGAATCATAGAATCATACAGTGGTTTGGTTTGGAAGGGACCTTAAAGATCATCTAGTTCCACTCCCCCTGCTATGGGCAGGGAGACTTTCCACTAGACCAGGTTGTTCAAAGCCTCATCCAGCCTGGCCTTGAACACCTCCAGGGATGGGGCATCCACAACTTCCCTGGGCAACCTGTTCCAGTGCCTCACCACTCTCAGAGTAAAAAAATTCTTCTTAATATCATCATCCTCATTGTATAGATTAAGAATGAATAAGAAATTAACATTTATTTCATTAGCTGCAGACAGTTACAAGGTAAATATCTACAGCAGAGCTAAACACACCTTATGTTTAATGGACATATTGTTATTATAATTCAGTGAAGGACATAATTCATCTTATCTTAAAGAAGATCTCTGAATATTATTTAATCCCTAAAAGTGTTCACTTCCATTGACTTCTAGCAGAGCCTAGCAAGATTACCTCAACTATAGATTTTGAAATTAGAAATGTTTAAAAGTCGAAGACATGAACTGCTCTAAAGAAGACTAAGTGCTTGCTTGGCTAGTGTAAGCACAATTCCTTCCAACTCTCTATATTAAAGGATATTTATATTTATTTTAATTAAAATAGTGTATAGCATTATTTAGTAATAATCAAAGCCATGCCCAAGCCCTAGATTTTTAGGAACTGCACAAATGATAACAGAGAGCTGATGTCCTCCAGGGGTAGTCATAAAATGGACAGAGTGTAGAGGAAAAAAAACACTGACTCTATCTGCAGATGGTCTGATGCTCAACTGATTTGTTCACGTTGAAATTTTCTGACAAAGCTAGGAATTAAATTGCAGTAGTAATCCAATGTGTTAGTTACACAGAGTTGATTTTTTCAAAAGTGCATAAAGGAAATAAGACAACATGTTCTGTTTTCCTATTGTTTTTAAACATTATCAAACATCAGCCTGCTCAGTATTAGAACTTACCCAGCCTTGCACATACGGCCCTCCCAAGCCTATACCACACCATGCAGTCTGAATGTTGTTACAGCACCCACCTGTCTGGGTATACATGACCACACAGTTTTCATCATTATTTGCAAAATTGGGTTCATTTGGAGCCCAGGCAACGTAGTTCACTGGAGTTCCATCCATCCATCTGAAAGAAGTCATACAATAATTCTTAATGGAATTAGTTACTATTTCTTCATAAAGGACATATTAGAGATTGTATTTTAAGTTTCCTATATCCTAGCTTACAAGCACATATTGTTCTCTGGTAAAATAAAAACATGACCTTCCGCTTTGAATTAGTAAAAAATATCTTTATGTCAACTGCCTACTCTGTTGACCTGGACCAGGTCTGAACTGATGATCTCAGCTGGTGGTCCCAGGTCTCTGAGCATTCGTAGCCTACAGGAAACATGCCAGTGCAGCACTGGACCTGGCTTTCTCTGGAGCACAGAAACACAAACCTGAGCCTAGTTTCCTGTGTCCAAAAACAGTAATATAAAATCTTGTAGGGTAAGAGGGAGCCTTGAACTACATACTGGGGACCACTGGGAACCATTTTGTTAAACAAAGGAAATCTTTAGTATTATACAGCTATTGCTTTCAGGTGTGCAACAATCACTAGTTTGGTGATTCACAAATTAATTCTCAAAAAGTAACCAAAAAAATGTGAAAGAGCCTCAGTGTACTGGAAGCAGGAGAGTTAAGCAGGGAATCTGCCAAGACTGGGAGCCTTCAGACAATGTCGGGTCCTGGGAAATTTAGTGTTTTCCAGTTTTGGAGACTAAGCAACTGTATGCGTGTGTTTGCAAGTATACGGTAAATAAGGAATTCAACAGGATTCCTAGCTGCTCCCACTTGCAAATCTTCCTCAGCCAAATAGGGAAAAAAAAGTACATAATAAACCAGGAGGAATAATATAAAGACAAATAGTGACACCATCATCCAACAGGGAGGAGGCTGAAACTAGTGAGGGAGCAAGGAAGAACCAGACAAACAACAGTGTTTTCTGACCAGTGGATGCGATGTAGAAAGCAGGAGCTACATGTAGCAAATGAGACTATCCAGTCTCTGAGTCTTGTGGACAAGAAAGACGTCCTGAGGCAAGAGAAGAAAGGCTGAAATGAAGAGGCTGAGACTCATCTGATCAAGCTTCAAAGCTCAGGAGAAGGCACTAGATAAAGAAGGGGGGGAAAGACACAGGAAGAGAGAAGAACAGTGCCACAGGAGAACTGTGTCTGTAACTCATCTAAGGCTCCATAGAAGGTTTAGGACACTCCCAGGGCACTTTGTTTCCAAAGACATTTGTAGAAGAGTAATGACTCCATGTAGCCTGAAGCTGTCCTGCCCTGGGCTCTGACAGCACACCCATCTGGAAACCACCTTCCAGACCAGGGCTCTCCTGCATTGGTACTTCACCTTTAAAAACCACTATGAAGCCTCACTGCAAGTTTTGAGGTTTCTTTTTCTTTGATTATTTGAATAATCAGTAGTGTCTGGAAATACCATCTGGAACATCCTAGAGACCTCCAACCAATTTTACCTTTCATCTAACAAGGAAAAGGGTATGATACCACACAGACTGTGAGTGAACATCTCAGCCTTACAATACAAAAGCAAGAGCATAGAATGAAAAGAAGGGGAAACACAGAGTGCAAATATTATGGGATAAGCGCTCACCTGAGGATCAGAATTGTATTTTAAAACATTATGTCAATACATGGCTGTAGACAGGTTTTGTCAGTCATTGAACTTCAACAGTCTCTTACAACAGTCATGCCAAATATTCGCATTATGAGTCTGACAAACTTAACTTATTTTTACTTACCGGAATGTCTTATCAAGGCTCACACTTAAGCCAATATAAAAGCTATTTCCCCAGTCTTTATAGAAAGTCTAAAACACAAAAAATAAGAAATTTAATGAGCTGTAAGAAAACAGATTCCAAATAACATAAACAAGCTCCCAAAAACCACTTTAGTTTTGTTTGTGCAATTGCATAGTATTCAATGTGCAGGGAGTTGCTGGGATTATGTGCCTGAGCTGACAAATGCAAAAATTTTCCTCTGATTTCCAGTATTTAAATTTAAAAAAAAAAACCCACACAAAAAAGCAGAATGGCATGAAAAAGAAATGGAGTGAAAAGATATGTTATTAAGATGAGAATGACCTCTGAAGCAAGCTATAAAATAAAGTAATATTTTAAAGAATTCTAGGAAAGCATAGGGAGAATTTGTCAAAAGCTACAAGTAAATGGTGGGGTTTAGTACTTAGTCAAGTGGAGGAAAGGATGGAATCATATTTGATTTTAATAGTGTTAAACTATTTCCAAAAGATTATATCATCATCAGGGTATTTTCTTTCTATTAGAAAAAAAACTCTGGCTTAAACCTTTTACTGAAAATCTGAAATCTGTTTTGACAAAGAAGGGAAAAAGCTTTTCTTGAGTTCTGTGAAGAGAATGAGTTGGAAAACAAAACATACTGAGTGTAACTGTAGATTTCGGCTAAACAGAGCAAGGTTTTGGAAGTTGCACCCTGAGAGTGTTCTTGAAAAGAAGCTGAGGATTTGTCTAAAATAATGATTATAAGCCCATGAAAGGTGGCACTGATTATTTTTATGATGGGGACCACTTTCTAGTATTTCACAAGCTAGCTGAAAAAGGTGCCTCAGTGCAGGACAGAATGGTGCATTTTTGAAATACAGCATGTTTCTTACATATTTCCAAAGAAAAATTCTTTCACTTTCACTCTCAATGACAGCAAGATCACCACCATTCTTCTTGCAAAAGTCCCTGGCTTTTTCCACAGGCATTGGTTCCTTGCTGAAGTAGTATTCCTTGTGATTATGTATTATCCAGTCATCTTCACTAACAGTATATTCATAACCTGCAAAGTAAAACATTATGCAGTCTGTAATAGAAATTAACATCATTATACATTAATTTATTTCTGTTTTTGAAAGCAAGACTTACTGAATGTGGAAGTAGGCTCTGGTTTCAGTGATGCTCCTGCAATGTAAATCAATATCTGAGTATATTACCTTTCTCAGACATATCTCAATTAAATATTTTTACACAATTGTTAGCATTTTAATTCCAAGTAATAAAATGAATCTTAAGGGCTACTCAGTATGCTTATTTTTGCCACTGAATTTCTCTGAATATCTGCAAAAAGATGTTACACTCAGCAAAATGCCATGTTAGAGTGGATCACAGGTTAAGCTTACAGAAACTCTGCCCAAGTTTAGGCTGCTGTATTTTACTTCCTTAACATGCTGCATATACATCCCAGGCCTACACATGTATCTCATGGATTAATTCATAGTTTCCAACTGCTTTTATTTAAATTAAAATGTAATTCATAGTTTCCAACTGCTTTTATTTAAATTAAAATGTATTAAGTGTTTCATTGTGCTTGATGGTACAGCTGGCTCTAAAACGTGCTGATGGTGTGATCTGACCCAGAAAGGATCTGCCTCTAAAAGTTGCTTGATGAAAAAAATTATCTTACCTTTTTTTATTTGGCAAACATAGTCCTGCATATGTTCACAAAATAAATCATTCCAGTACATATTAGTGTAGCCATTAAATACGCCACATTTTTCATTTCCATCATAATTGTTTGGTTCTCCATGTGCCCATTTTTCAAAATTTACCTATAGTGGAAACACAGCTTCATTACTATTTTCCTTTTAAAGTGAAACAATTACTTTATATTGTCCTCTTAAAGAAGAATGTACTTCATTTGATTTCATGGCCCATCTTGTGCTTTGATGCCAGACCTTGTAG